AAAAAAAAAAAAAAAAAAGTGGAAAATGTGTTTACAACATCAATGATGAACAAAGAATAAATATTCTTAGTATACAAATTCTTTCATTCAATATCTATGTATTGAGCACTTGGTATATGCTAGAAAGTATTTTGGGCACTAAGGGCACAAGCAGTAAATAATGTCCCTGCTCTCCAAGTACTTAGACCCTGATGGGGAGGACAGTCAGTGAATACGGTAGATTATTGTAGGTCGCATTTTGATAAGGGCTAAGGACAAAACATTAAGCAGGGAACTGGGTTAGGGAGGCTTGGCAGGGTTTGCATTATATGGATATTCAAGGGAGCTTCACTGATGAAATGACATGGAAGTCGTTGAATGTTGAGCTGATAGCAAATTTGCTGTTTTTGGAATATTGAGCTGATAGAATTTGCTGATTGGGTTGAGTGCAGGTTGTGAAAGAAAGGAGTCAGGGTGGCTTCTAGGTTTGGGGCCTGGCAACCAGAAGGATTGACATAGGAATGACTCAGAGGCTTGGCTTGGAGAGAATTAGAGTTTTGGTTATGGATATTTCAGTTTGACATCTCTCTTATGTATTCAAGTGAGGATGTCAGGGAGGTGATTGGATATAAAAATCTGTAATTCAGGGTGACATCCAGGCTGGAGATATAAATTTGGGAGTTGTCACAGTGTTGATAATATTTGAAAGAATGACACTAACTAGAGCCCCTAGAGAGCATGCATAGACAGAGGAGAGAGCCCAGTACATCCATGGGACCCTCTCTTTAGAGTCGAGGGAGATGAGGAGGAGCCAGCCAAAGAGAGCAAAATGGAGTGACCACTGAAATGAAAGGAGTTCACAAGAAAGGGGATTTCCCAAGGCATAAAACAGTGAGAAGCGTGAGATCAGCTTTACCAGATGTGCTGATGGGCAAGGAGAGAGGGTGTGGAGAGCTGGCCATTGGGTCTAGCACTGGGGAGGTCACTGGTCAACCCAACAAGGGCTGTTTCATGGGAATGGTGGGGAGAGAACCTGATTGTAGTTGGGTTATTGAGAATAAGAGGAAAAGAACTGGAGATAGAGAAATGGGACAATAGCCGGAGGAGGATGGTATTCAAATAAGTTTATTTTTCCCAAGATGGGAGTTACGTAACTCCTGTTTTTACCCAAACGGAAATGATTCAGTAGCGTAGGGAGAGTGGATGGTGCAGGACTGGGCTGGGGGGAGGGTTCTGAAATGGTGGTCTCGAGGAGGTGGGAGAGGTAGAATCCAGGCATGAGCTGGTGGGGGGTCCTAAGCAGGAGCATCTTTTCTCAGTTCACTAAGAAGCAGAGTCATCAGCAGAGGGTGGAGACTGAGGAGGTGTTGGAGGTTTGAGGAGAGAGGACAAAGCATGAAGTCCTTCGTAGCAGAATGGGAAAATAAATGGCCAGGGAATGAAGGATCGCTGGGCGGCATGCAGGCCTCTGAGGGTATGTTTTCTCCAGCCATGTCCCGTTACACAGGTGCACATGGGGTATGAGGCCATTGTGGTAGAAAAACAACGTGGACAGGCACAAGGGAAGACAGAGAAACGCCTGTAATCAGAAGAGCACCATCAGTAATAACTGAAGAATACAAGTAAAAACAGTGAGGTTTTCTTTTTTTCCTCTTCAGACTGGCAAAGAGCTCCCATTGGGGTTAGAAATTATTGTTGCTTTTCTGGAGCACAGTGTTACAGTATATTCCAGAATACAACATGTGTCCCCTTTTGACCTGTCAGTCCCACTTTTAGAAATTTATTCCAAGAAATAATCGCTCAAATGTAAGGCGATATACACAAAGACATTCACACAGCATTGCTTATCAAAGTGAAAAATTGGCAATCATCTAACCAGGAGGCAACTGACTCACTTACCTGTCAGCATAACAGTGATAGTGGGACACAATGGCTCACACTCACCCTCCTGTTTCGAGGGCTGGTTTTGCAGATGAGGGAACTTGGGTCCAGAAGGGGGTAGTGACAGTTCCAGTCCTACTGCACAGAGCTCAGACCCCTTGGCTGTAGGCAGGCACCCTGCCCAACCTCTCCAACTGGGCTTGGAGTCAGAATCCCTCGCAAGGAACTTAGCCCCTTTTCTAGGGCCAGTTTGCTTAATGCTTTTAAAATACTAGTTCTCAAAATGTTTTGCAAATTTGTTTACAATGTCTTCGTTTCATCATTTGTGGCTTTCCTTGCAAAGGATGCTGACAGTGGGGAGACAACAGACAGACTGCCTGGGCTAGTGATAAAGACCATATTTTCTTGATTCCCAAGTAATACTTACAGTGGAAGAAAGGCTATTTTCTGCTTTCTTACAGTGTTTACAAAAGTCATAACTGTGAGGATGATCTGGGTGCAACATCTGTCACCCCTTTGATCACCAGGGTTGATTGGGCTGACCTGACTGGCTAGGCAGGTGTCCCCTTCCTCTCTCACCACTCTGTGTGTGTCCCTCCTGAAGCTGTTATGCTCAAAGAGGATGACCATCCCTGATAGAGGAGGACTGGTCTTTGGTCAAGGGTATATGAGTAGCTGTCTTCTTCTGCTAGGACTTCCAAACAAGCTCTCAAAAGTCATAAGAGAAGTACAAATATAATAAAGAACTTACATTTATTTGTTTCCCTGATCATATGTTTATTGATTAGAAGAAAATAAAATTAGCAACCAGGCATGGTGGCTCACACTTGTAATCCCAGCACTTTGGGAGGCTGAGGCAGGTGGGTCTCTTGAGGCCAGGAGTTCAAGACCAGCCTGGCCAACAGGGTGAAACTCTCTCTACTAAAAATATAAAAATTAGCCAGGTGTGGTGGTATACACCATTAGTCCCAGCTTCCCAGCTGTTTGGGTGGGTGAGGCACGAGAATTGCTTGAACCTGGGAGGTGGAGGTTGCTGCGAGCTGAGATTGCACCACTGCACTCCAGCCTGGGTGACAGAGTGAGACTCTGTCTCAAAAAAAATAAAGATAAAATTAGCTTTGCTGGTGGAGAAAAGGGAGGAAAAATAATTAGCATTGTCAGAGAACATCTGGGATATTTCGTCCCCTCAGTGGGAATAGCCCTGAGTTGTCACTCCTGGAGCTTCTGGTTTTAGTTTAGGTCTTTGACGCCACAGCACAGGGACCCAGGAGAAGCTGTTCAGCTTCTCCAGGCTTTTGTGTCTTCACCAGAGAAATGAGCGGGTGGGCTTAAGTTACCTATGAAAACTCGTAAAATAAATATGATGCTCTTTCCACGCTACCACATGCCTGTTTTGGGTCCAGGGGTGTGAGAGATGTGTTAGTGCTGCTGTAAACCAGCCCTGGGTCTCCCCCCTCCCCGCCAACCTCCCCCCACTGCCAAACCCCCAAGCACTACCCTGGGTTCTCCACTGCTTTAGAAAGCTCATTGAAATAAACACGCCTTTGTGCCTCTTGCAACAATTCCAGATCAACCAATGGCAGACCAGAGAATGGACATTTCTTCAACCATCAGTGATTTCATGTCCCCGGGCCCCACCGACCTGCTCTCCAGCTCTCTTGGTACCAGTGGTGTGGATTGCAACCGCAAACGGAAAGGCAGCTCCACTGACTACCAGTAAGGTCTTTGGGGCATGTCTTCCTCTTGTTAAACTTGGTGTCAGTTCTCGGGCATGGAACATGTAGCAGCCAACTACTGTTGCTCCTGGAAAAGGGGATGGGAATAAAAAATCCAACTCTAGGTGGCTACACAGGTGGTTTTTGGCTTTACCTTCCCCTGACTTGTAAGCAAGAAGGGAGCCTTCAGCACTGCTGAGGCATTTTCCTTTCACGTCCCGTCCCCAAAATGTTATACACCAAGAGGTAAAGAACAGTCTTAAGGCCAAGTTCTACCTTTTACCCCTTTCTTCCTCTTCTTTCTTTGCTCCTTTGAGCAAGAGGGTTAAGTCTATGGGTGTCATCTCAGGGGGTTCAAAGAGAGCTTTGCCCAAGGGCCTCTCTGAGGAAGACAGCAAATGTCAGGTGCTTAATGAATGTTTGTGGAAGGAATGAGTGGAGGTCCTCTCCGAAAGCAATTTAGGAACATTGATATTGTCCTTAAACATTGTTTAAATTAGTATGAACTTGCTTATATTAAATTTAGACTTGATGACTTTTCTTTTGAGTAAGTAAATTTTCACCAGTCATCATTCTGTATATATACAAACACCTAGGAATAAGGCAGTGTAGAATGTTCAGAGGCACATTTTATTTTGCTGAGGCACCTGTGTAGAATCTTACCCAAATGTCCATTTAAGAGGTTTTCTTTTGTTTAATGAGGGAAAATCTCTGAGGAGGTATCCCCCCTACAGCAGATGTCCTTTCTGCTGAAGTTCACAGGTCGAATTTGGGGAGCACAATGGCTGGAGGTCAGATGCCCACTAGGAGATGCTATGATTAATATGTAAGTTATCCCAGATGATTAAGACAGCCAACGCCCAGGGGCTGGAGAGTGGGTATGAGGGCTGTGAGGGTGTTCTTCCATAGCAGTAACTCCCCAGCGGAGAGACTGCGAGATGTTGACCACAAACCCTTTGTCTTGAGCAAGTGCTGAGGGAGCCACTATTATGTTCTAAGGCCTCTGCCATCTACACCTGTGGTTTCCAGCCTGGTCACCACCCAAGACCCCTCAGATTTCCCTTGTGGACCCTGGTTTGCTAATCTTCTGTAATTCATGGAGACTCGATTAATTAAGCAACCATAATCTCTTTCACTATCATTTTAATTTAACTGAAGTCATCTGTGACTGTCAGGCAGAGCTTTTTCTCACCTGAGATGATCATCTGTCCTCAAGGAGCAGAGAGAATTCTAGACAAAAGAGAAGAGGGGAGTTTTTGCCCTTCCGTGGGGCCTGCATGATCTCTAAACTTTAGAATTAGCTGGAGAAACCCTCTGCCTGTGAGGAACCCCAGGGCATCTAATTGGGAACACTGTTCTAGAATCCCCATGATATGGTCCAGTGCTCCTAGAAACAGCCATTTTTGCCCTTGGGATTACATTGTTTGAAGGGCCATGATCTCTCCTTTCCTATGGGATAAAGGAAAAAGGAGACAGGCCCAGGTGGCAGTCCATGTTCTCCTGATAAATACATGGATTGGAGAAGGCCATGAGAACGATTTGGAACTCCTTCCTCTGGGGATTTCAGTCTATTTTCTTCTACTGAACTACAAGATGCAATGAAACCTGGATTTCTGGAGTCTGTGAAAGGGAGGGAGATCCTTGCTGTTACCCCAGGACCCTCTGTGGCCCTCAGCCCCACTACTCCCCTCTATCCCAATTCCTAAAGTCTAGGGGTTCCCATCTAGCTGAGAAGCAGAACATTTGGCAGCGTGCCTTTGAAAAGTTCTTGGGGCTCTGCTCAGTACTTTATTGGTACTTTAATTCCCCCTGCTCACTTCACCCCTTCCCTGCCAGATAGATAAGTATGCACATGTCAAATGGAACAAGCTTCATTTATCCAGAATGATGGGGTGGGGGAATGAGAGGTTATAGATATTTTGATACTGTGGTTAACTAAGCATTTTTGTAAACTCTACATATTCCCAATTTTCAAACAATTGAAATATGGTAAAATATAAGTTAACGCAGAAACTCTATTGAGATAACTATTGTTTGATAATCTGAGAACTGGTCCAGGTTTTATAATAAGTTCAAGTTAATTTCCATTTGTTTGTTTTACCTTATACATCATTAATCAATATTGTGGCTGTTTGAGCTTTCTTATTGTTTGGTTTCTGGATAAATGAGAACCTTCTGTCTTAAGAGGCTCTTCTGTATGTCCTTATTAACATGCAGTCACATTCTCTCTTGTTTTTTCAGAGAAAGCATGGACACAGACAAAGATGACCCTCATGGAAGGTACCATGAACCTAGTAATTTGAACTTCAGCGTCCTTAGAGCCATTTGCTTTGCCCTGTTACACATTCTTTGACTTGGGGCAGCACCCATGTCATCAACTGGAGATGAGCAAGGAGGCTGTGGCCTGTGGGCTTACACTGTGTCCCTCCAACCCCCAGTCCCCTTGTTTGTCTGCAGAGAGATGACAGGGATGGGGCAGAAGAAAACAGCAGTGTGTAACTTTGCCATTAATCTCTGGAGAATTATGTTTTTATCTTTTGCCTTTTTCCTCCCCCCAGGTTAGAATACACAGAACACCAAGGAAGGATAAAAAATGCAAGGTAAGCTTAGACCTCATTTTGTCTACAAAGCGTCCTAATTCTGGTTGCTTAGAGAGCAGCTGAGGAGGCTCTGTGTGTTTGGTCCTATTGGGCAAAGAGTCCTGTTGGGCACTGTCACATCCTTAGAGAACAGGCAGGTAGCAGGCCTCGGCCGAGGTGGCCTTCTGCCCTCCATGCTCCCCATGCTGGACTGGTCTTTACTTTTTGCTGTCCAAGCACCTTTAACCTGAAGGGGATTTGAAGGTAGCAGAAATCAATCAAGGCTCGTTTTTTCCAAGTCTTCAGTAGAGGACATCTTCCTGACTGGAGGGCTGGGACTCGCCTCTGAAAGGGGCCCCTATTGCACTGCAAGTTGCAACTGAATGTCCCACATGGGGCATGCTAGTGCCTCGAGTACATCGCTGCTTTGGTTCTTCCTACCTCCAGCCACACTTGCTGACCTCTTCCCATTGGGTCCTCAGTTGTTCTGCCGTTAGTGCCAAGACCTTCTGAGGCTGTGTCATGACAAACTGATACAGGGGGTGCAGAAATCGGCTGCCCTAAGGCTTCAAGCTCTTCCCTTGGAGGCCAGCCTTGGTAGGAGCTCCCATGGCTCTGTATCTGTGGCAGCTGCAGCAAACTAAATTTCCATAGTTGCTGCACCTCCTTAGGACCGTCACCAACGGCAGGTACACATCAGTCAGGGAGAGCATGTGCCAGGGCAGTGCCACCCTGCCTCAGTGGACAGGCACTCTTGGGAGGGAGGAATGTGACATTCCTCAGAGGAGGCTCCTGGGGACAGATGCAGCATCTGCTGTACCTAGGTGGGGTTCTGGTTGATCCAGGGATGACAGTGTTGGTTACTGGGTGCCCTAGTCTGTGAAGCTGTGACTTGGAAGAAGTGGTGCCCTACCCAGGTCACACAGCCACACAGTGGGCTTCTCACAGATCTCAGGGACAGTCCATGGGGCCCTGGGTGCTCTGTGCTATGAAGCCACCACCTCCCTTCTCTTTCCTTCCAGCCCCATTTCAAAATCCAATTTTACAAAGGCAGAGAGGAAAAGAAAATGAGGTGAAATGAACAATTCAGTTTACTCTGAAAAGACAATTTTTGTGGCTTTTCTCCTGAATTCTAAGGATAAGGTAAACATAAAAAAACTAATACTGACCTGGCAGTGAGACCATTTTCTTGGAAACTTTAGTAGAAAAGTCTAATTTTAAACATTCTGCAAATTCTAAATTTGCCTTGTCAGATGAACATTGAAAACAGTTACAACTCATGTATTTTTGTCATCTTTTCTTGACGCTTGGTTACATTTTTTAAGAAATTGCTTTTTTATATTGTTGTTCAGGGAAGCTCACAGTCAGATTGAAAAGCGGCGTCGGGATAAAATGAACAGTTTTATAGATGAATTGGCCTCTTTGGTACCAACATGCAACGCAATGTCCAGGAAATTAGATAAACTTACTGTGCTAAGGATGGCTGTTCAGCACATGAAAACATTAAGAGGTGAGACCCGGGGCTCTATTGTCCTTTATGTCCTTGCCCACAAATGTTACCACCCTTGCCTAGAATGTTCCTGTCCGGAAGGCAAGTGTTTATTACTTGCAATTATGTAGCCTTGAGTAGTACGCCTATACTTTTCAGCAGCAGCCGTGATGCCAAATGAAATGATGATTGAGCTTATGTGGGGTTTACATGCAATTTTGTAGTCACACATCCTCAAAGCATAGAAACTATGTGCTTTGTATGTCTGTATATGCATGTAATCAGGCTACATGCCTATCAGAGATGATACTGCTCTCACATCTTGCCTATGTTTGTGCCTAGATCCCACCCTTACAATTATAACATGAAGAAACGTAGGTGCACACAGTGACACAGAAAAGTCAGTTTCAGTTTTTAAGATGAAAATTCATCATGGTTCCTTTGAAGAGTGAGTCATGGGTTGAGGTTTCTCGCAGCATTTTGTTGTCAGGAATGAACACAGGATATTTTCATCTTCCTGGAATTTTCCCGAACCAGATCCACTCGTTGTGAGGGAGGCAGTATTTTCCTTCTTTTCTGAGTGTGGGGAGGGTGAGAAAACAGAGGCAGAAAAGTGGAAGTGACTTATCCAAACCACAAGAGAAATCTGAAATATATCAGGCATTTTAGTGAATGTCGTTCCTGGAATTTTCCATAGCTAGTCTCGGACTTTTGGAGGAAATTGGAAAGTGGGCGCTCAGTCAGATCTCTGACCTGCGTGGTAGAAGAATTGCATCTTTTTATATTTGCACCAAGCCACCAGAAATAAGAAGTAGCTGGTTTTATCTGAAGACCATTATTCAAAAATATAAATGTTGTATACTGTGCTGGGAGAATGGCATTTAAAAATTCATATTTGCGCAGATAATATGGGTTAAATTATAAACTAATTTCTATTAAATTAGAAGGAAAAAAGTAGCAAATCTCAAGTTAAAGAGCAGGGATAGGGATCAATAGGATGTTTGCAACGCATCCTATTCCCCTCCCTCTCCATGGTACTTTAAATTGTTATAGATCCGTTTCGTTTTATTCCCTCACTATTCTCACTATTCTACAGATTCCAAATCATTTACTGCTGGCATTTTTCTCCGTTAAGTGACTGTTCTGAAAAATGCCAGATTGACAGCCTTTTAAATATAAGTCTTATCCCCTTTCAGTCCTGGGAGCGGGGGCTGCCTTTACTGAAGCAATGCATTTCTCCACATTGCCACACTCATTTAATTTACCCCTGATGAAGAAGAACTTACATTTAATGCCTTCTACAATATATTTACTCAGGGCCTGGCAGATTGGATGGTTTCCCAAGAACATTTAGAGTGGTGATTTGAAGGACTATGAGATAACCCATTTAATACAGATCTTAGGAGGAGGGAACTCTCTGAGGAGCCTCTACCAGTTTACTTCCTGAGCTGCCTTCTCTCTTAAAAGCATATTGTTAAACTTCCTTCTATTATCTCTTGGTTTTTCCCTGTAATGAGAAAAACAAGCTGGTTAGGTCTCCTGTGGGTAACAGTGTTCTCTTTTCCATGGAATTCTCTTTCTCTTTGTCCAAAGCCAGATCTAGGCCTGTCTCAGTTAAGGCCTAAACAATATAATTTAAATACCAGGTCGTAGGGACTAGGCCACTTACAGAGGTTTGAGGCAGCAAGTTGGAATGAGACATTTTCTGAATATCAAGTATACTGATTCTTTCTCTTTTTCCCCCTAAGGTGCCACCAATCCATATACAGAAGCAAACTACAAACCAACTTTTCTATCAGACGATGAATTGAAACACCTCATTCTCAGGGTATGTTCAACTATGGGATTATTTTACATTTGTTTTTATAAATTTTTGAGTAAGCACCAGCATGTGGGCATTGGATGTTTCAACACTGAGCTTTTTTTTTAGGGCTGCTTCCTCTCTCGGGTCCTTCCTTTTATCTTATTGTTTGGACAGGTTTCACATTTCTTCCATAAAATCTTTCTCCTCCTCTTTTAACCTTGTCTAGGCAAAAATGGAAGGTCTTTGCCACTGCAATTTTAAATCAGAAGAGGCAGGATTTGTAAGAGGAATTGGGGAATTACATTTCTGCACGAAGATTTTAGGAAGGGACTGAAACTGACAACAATTGAGAAATTCTCTTCACCTGATTTAACTGCTAGCACAAAGAAAGTCCACCTAAATCTCTACACCAAAATCCTATCAAAATGACAACACTGTGGTCCACGTCTGTAATCCCAGCACTTTGAGAGGCCAAGGCAGGCAGATCACCTGAGGTCAGGAGTTCGAGACCAGCATGGCCAACATGGTGAAACCCTGTCTGTACTAAAAAATATAAAAATTAGCTGGGTGTGGTGGTGGGTGCCTACTTGGGAAGCTGAGAAACGAGAATGGCTTGAACCCAGGAGGTGGAGGTTGCAGTGAGGTGAGATCGTGCCACTGCACTCCAGCCTGGGCAACAGAGTGAGACTGTCTCAAAAACAAAAACAGAAGCACAAAACTTCCAAAGACTAGTGGTTCAAAAAAGAAAAATAAATGGAATAAGTATATGCTTTCACTTGCTTGACTTGAGTGGTCTCTCTGTCTTGCTAACTCTCTGCTGGGAGATGGTTGAGGTGGCACTGTGGGAACCTATCGTCTTCCATGTGGAATTAGGTCTGCACAGGGCTCTAAGTTGTATCACAAGGTAAAGTGAGATTAACTTGGGAATTGAAAGGAAAGAAACTGTATTCGTAAACATGTGTTCTTGGAATTTGTAAACAGAGAATAGAAAAACATAACTAAAAGGAAGGATGCCCTCTCCTACCTTCCATGAAGTCAGGGCTGACCTTACCTACAGAATCTTCATACCCATCTTAAAGCTGAAGTTTGCAAAGCTATAGAATAGAGGGCAGTCCATCTGGATTTCTGTATCATCACTATCCATTTTCAGCTCTCTGTAAGCCTGGCCTGTCTGCTCACTCCAGCATTCTCTATTTATCACCTCATGACGTGCTATCTCAAATTGGAAAGCATTCACCTGCAAGGACCAGAAGACCAGATGAATAAGTGTAGTTTCATTTCTCAAGTATAACTGGTCTTGAGTAGGTTATGTGAGTTTGCTGGTTCACTGAGGTCAATAGGAATTAGGTTCTTTCTGTCTTTGTACTCAACCACACCAAGCTAGCATGCTAGCTTTTTTCCTTAATGTAGCCAGGTACCTCTGCCAGGTCTAAGTAGCCAGACTGACTATAAAAAAGAGGGTAAATGAGGCCCTAGTCTGGCTGTCCTTTTTATCAAGAAACGATACACCTTCCTGGAAGCTCAATAGTGGACTTCTGCTTATCCAAAAGTGTGTCACTTGGTCACACCTAGCTGCAGCTGCAGGGCAGGGTGCAGAAACAAGTGTATATAGATTTTCAAGCCTCCCTGGTAGAGACAGGCAAGAAAGAAGGGGCCTGGGAATGGTGCTGGGAATTGGCTCCCCCAACAGTGTTTACCACACACACTTTCCACAGCCACATGCATTTGCTTGATTCCTTCCAGAAGTGACTCCCACAAGCCAATATAGCATTTCAACTATGGTCTGGTTGGCCTGAGGTCGAATTAGGCTAGTGCCTTTCTTGGCAAAAAAGCCATCTTATTAGTACCACCTCATTTAGGGCAGCTGCAATACCGCCTGCTCCCCCAACCCTCCTGAATATGAATTATTGTTAAGTCAGGATTTTTACATCTTGTATAGGTGCTTTCTTGAATTTAAGATAGAACTTCTCTCTCATTTCTGTCAAAACCTGTTTGTTGAATGGCCCCATAGTCCACCTTGTCATTAGTGACCCTTGGAATCTTTGTGTGACTTGTAGATCCAATACTTGCCTCTGTGCCTTTCATCCTGTTTGTTTATAAATTCGACAAGCATTTTTTGTGCACTTACTAGAGGCATGGCATTATTCTAGGAACATCCAAATCAATGAGAAACACTTTAGAGTGGGAGCAGTATCCCAATCAAGTGAGTGATGGTCTTTTGGTTACCACTCTTTGGACACAGTTATTCAGACGCCCAACTGTGTCCACCTCTCCATCCTTTTCATAAGGATGTCCATGTTCTCAGAGAGGATTTGCTGAGGTTAAAATATGACCGATGTATGTAGCATCTCGAGAGCTGCCATTGGGGCCAGCTTCATGGGCATGCGACCTCTGCAGTTTCACAGGGCCCCATGCTTGGTTTAATGCTCTGTCACCTCCTGGAAAATCTTAATTTTTGAACAAGGATCCCGCATTTTCATTTTGTACCGGGCCTCACAAATTACGTAGCTGGTCCTGATTCCCTTACTGGTAATAGATCTGCAGCTATAGATGTGATAAGCATGCCTCTATGCCTTTCATTCTTGCTTATTCATGAATTCAACAAACACTTTTGTGTACTTACTGGAGGCTTGGCATTGTTTTAAGAACATCCAAATCAATGGCATTTTAGGGTAGGATACAGGCTTATTTTAAGGAAAAGAATCTATGCATTTATTTCATATATGTATGTAAAATAATTATCAAGCAGAATCCTATGGATGGAAAAATTTAAAAATAAAACAAGTTCCTTTTGCAATGGTACATGCTTAATTATTTTCTTGTTCTTTTTGTAATAATTTTCTGTCAGATACCCACACTTACTAGAATTATGGAACAAGGATTATAATGCTATCTCAGTTAAATACTTTATCTTGGGCTTGTCTTTTCTGCTCCTTTGTTTTATGCAGCACTCAAGAGTGATCTGTCTTGCCTGATGAAGCTTTTGTCACCTCTCTGGCATGTGTCAATGGCTGAGAAATACTGTCCAATCCCTTATCACTCCCAGGGGCCCAGTTCCAGGGATTTGTTTCAACAGAAAGCCAGGTCCACTCAGATGATACTCAGTTTGGCTGCAGGAGCTGGACTTCTGCTTTTTCTCAGCAATGCAAAATGGACAAACTGCTTTCTTTACTAAGTGCTTTCAAAATATCTTTAATAAAGTGTATGTCAGGGATCAATCAACTGTATCAGTTTACAATGTCTACATATTCTACTTCTCCATGTTTTGAAAACTAGGCAGACTGTACTAGCGCCTCTGTATCATTTATTAACCTGCACCATCTTCCCAAGAGTGACCTTGCCACTGGCTGGCCCTGTGGCTCTGTGGAGCTGGTAGTATTCTCACAGCCTCTGCTCCTTAGCTATCCATTGGGCCCGGCTCCTTCACAGATGGTCTGCCTTCCAGGGTGCTGGGGAGATGGAATGTCCAGAGCCTCCCCCGCTGATGCATTCCCTGCTTTGGAACCTACTGGCTTCCCCCTGGAGTGCTGAAATCGCTTTACCCGTGTCGTCGGTTCAGGCATGACCCTGCCCAGTATTACCTCCAGGGTGTCACAGGTCCCTTCTGTCTAGTCACCTCTCAAACCACATCGCCACATTAATGACAAGCCTCAAAAACACTTCTGTGAGATTTAAGATTGTCTGCAAGGCAAATGAGGAAGTTATTAATACACTATTTGTTGACAGAATGAGGCTTCCAGCAGATGGTGCTTGGAAAGTTACTTCCCCCTCACTGTCATCCCTTGCCCCTGGGCCAGCTTAGGGACCTAACTTAGGAAAGGATCCTCCCCAGCTTCCTTCTGGCTGAGTAGCCTGCCAGGGTCTCACAGCAACAGTGATTCTGTTCCCCTCTCACTCATTTCTTCTGTCCCAGCACAAGTGCATGCACCATTCTTTTACCTTCTGGCATATGAATTCATTTTGTGGTTCTTTGAATTAAACCACATCATGAAGGCCCTTTTGTGGAAAAAGAGAACAGAGTTTCTCTGTTATTTTTCCAAAGAACAGATTGAGGGCCAGTGAATAAGGCGAGAAACTAGCCCACTGTGTATTAGAACCGGGTGAGGGGGGAGGGCGGAAGGGCTGTCATAAGAGCAAGGGCATGACAGAGTGGGGCGCATCCTCCTTGTCACCAGCAGACCCCAGCAGGAGTTGAGTGGTTGTATGTCTTGGAAGGCAGTGGGTGGAATTCACACATATGCTGACAAAACAGCCCAAGCTCTCAGGCACTATAGCTTGGGTATTTACCTGCTTCAGTATCTTCACCAAATGTTGTCCTGTCTTAATGCTTGGCTTTATAGGAACATTTATATTTTATCCTGTATTTAAACTGAGGAAGGGGTCAGAAGAATCTAGGGGAAATTTTGCTTTTCTTGTCTCACTTGGAATGCAAATAGTCCATCCCTGGATGGAGGGATAATATTTGAGAGTAGTAATTCTCAGCCCTGGTCACATTAGAATCACATTAATGTGGAAGAGGGATAGGTTTAAAAAATACCCCAGTGATCGGCTCCATGCCAGACCAACAGCATAAAACCAAAAACAAAAAACACTACTCCAAATATTGAGAACCACTGTTTTGAGAGCTCCCTGTACATGGAGGTGTTCAAGTTTAAGGCAGATGGCGGCTGAGATGTTGGAGAGGGGATTCTTCAAGAGTCCTTCCAAATCTCAGATTCTCTGACTCTCCATAGAGTTGTTACAGTTAGAGCAATGAAATATGATTTCTCTGGACCATGATACCATCAAAAGAATACATGTGAGCTGAATTCTGTTTTGAAATAGAACTTACTTTAATTGAACTTTTTCACATGCAGACACACACACACACACACACACACACACACACACACACAGACTTTAAATTCTCTGGAGACATTTGTTTTCAGCATCTTGCTCTCAGATTACCACTGAAACTGTGAGTGAGTGTTCCAGTGCTTTGGATGCTTAGAAAACACATCCTTTTCTGCTATCAGGGTGATTACAAATTATGTTTCCTAAATTATGAGAAATTGATTATCCATTTCTCCTGATTAGGCAGCAGATGGATTTTTGTTTGTCGTAGGATGTGACCGAGGGAAGATACTCTTTGTCTCAGAGTCTGTCTTCAAGATCCTCAACTACAGCCAGGTATCGTTCATGCGCCTGTTGGTGGTGGGCAGCCTCACAGCAGTCAGAAGTCTCACTGCATTTTTTCAGAAGAATTATAGTATACACGTCATGTGTGAACTTCTTCCAGAAAATTCTTAACTTCTTAACAGATTTAGACTTAGAATAATCTTGTAATATGTTCCATATTCCCCCCGTTGAAAGATGTGACTCTGATCTGATCAAACGCATTATGGCTTTCTTCTATTGCTGCAAAATAAATATCCCACAATATGTGGTGAGGACAGAGGGTGAGAGGCTACCTGGCAAGGGAGAAAGGTAGGCAGGTAACTCAATACCAGAGAATACCACACTTGGAAATCCACTTCATACTGTGTTTGCAGTGCTGTGTCACTTCTTAGCTCGACTGAACTTCAGCGTCCTCCAAAAATTGATGATGATAACCTGTAGGATCAAATAAGAGTAGCATTTATAAACACTTCTAGAACAGAACTTTTCAACTATTATGTCCCCCAGAGTTTTTATTCATTTATTCATTCACTCAATGACACACTGGTATTTGCATGGAAGCTTGGTAGGCAGAAGACTTGAAGAATCAGAATGACATTTATGTAAATTAGAATTAATATAAATTTAATTTTTGCAAAGATTTTTGCTCTTTTTAGTCTCAGAGCAAAGTTATGGAGGAAGTTGCCTGTTATCTCTGTTAATAGACAAGGTGACTGAAGCATATGATATGCATGACTTGCTTGAGAACAGAGAGGCTGAACAGCAGAGCTGGAGCCAGAGCCCACCTCTGTCTTCCTCCTTCTGAGGTTGTACAGGGGAATTCCAAGATTATTGCCTTAGAAGAGCATAAACTGGCTGGGCACAGTGGCTCACGCCTGTAATCCCAGCACTTTAGGAGGCCAAGGTGGGCGGATCATGAGGTCAGAAAATCGAGACCATCCTGGCCCACATGGTGAAACCCCATATCTACTAAAAATGCAAAAATTAGCAGGGTGTGATGGCACATGCCTGAAGTCCCAGCAACTCAGGAGGCTGAGGCAGGAGAATCACTTGGACCTGGGAGGTGGAGACTGCAGTGAGCCGAGACTGCGCCACTGCACTCCAGCCTGGTGACAGAGTGAGACTCCATTTCAAAAAAAAACAAAGAGCATAAACTATTTATATAATTGAGGGTTTTCCCCTCACGTTATCAAAATCAACCTCCAGAGGTCACCTCCTTTGTGTGTAGGCAAAGTGGTTGGACATATGTACAGGTTCATTTAGGAAAAGTTTGAGGTCTTTTGCATGAAAACATAAAGCAAAGGCAAAGAGCATGCAGACTGTGTGCGCTTCTTACGTAATTGATTTTCTGCATGCAGTTGACTTGTCACGTTTCACATTTCATCCCCATAGAATGATCTGATTGGTCAGAGTTTGTTTGACTACTTGCATCCTAAAGATATCGCCAAAGTCAAGGAGCAGCTCTCCTCCTCAGACACCGCACCCAGGGAGCGGCTCATAGATGCAAAAAGTGAGTACCAGAGAGGCCTCGCATTTCTTCAGCAGCCCACTCACAGGTGGCCAGCCCTGAGCGAGCAGAGAGCGGGTGTGTGTGATGGGCTCAGCCTTTCCGGTCCTACTTCTCTGTACTCTTTCTGGGGCACCAGAGCTATCTTTGGCTAAATGGAATTATTTATGTTCTTTTGGGTTTATTTTACATAAAAAGAACAAAAAATCTCAATGTCCAAATTTATTGAAAAGATTTGTTTAGACTGGATTCTTTCTGATTTTTAGACTTTTCTTTTTTCTTTCAGAATCTAGAAATTCCCAGTTGTATACTCCTGAGTTTAAAGGGCTAAACTTTGATTTGTTCTCCCAGAACAAATGGGCTCTATTTACCTGAGTTGCACACAGGCAGCCTCATAAAAGTAAGAAAACATCAACTATAAATATGGTGTTTCTTCAACCAGTGTTCCTCCTTAGATTGGCACCCCCGCCTGGATTTCTTCTTGCAATACTGGAACCACCATTCACATCCCCTCCTCTGCCCCCAGCTTCCTGCTATTGCACACACTCCTGTGCAAGGCCCCAGTGGCTGCCATCTACTTTAGTCCTGTGGGAGGCTGTGCACTCCTGCAGTTAAGAATGAGGATTCTGGTGGGCATGGTGGCTCATGCCTGTAATCCCAGCACTTTGGGAGGCCGAGGCAGGTGGAGCTCTTGAGGTCAGGAGTTTGCAACCAACCTGGCCAATGTGGCAAAACCTTGTCTCTACTAATAATACAAAAATTAGCCAGGTGTGGTGGCACATACCTGTAATCCCAGCTACTTGGGAGGCTGAGGCAGAAAAATTTCTTGATTCCAAGAGGCAGAAGTTGCAGTGAGCCGAGATTGTACTACTGCACTCCAGCCTGGGTGACAGAGCAAGACACCATCTCAAAAAAGAAAAAAAAAAAAATGAGGACTCGAGGGAGATTACTGGGCTCATTTTGGCTCCACCATTCACTAGCTGTGTGACCTTGAGCAAGTTACTTAACCTCTCTCTGTCTCAGTTTTCTCATTTATGCAAGAGTACCTGTTACATTGGGTTGTTGTGAGGATTAAAAGTGTTAATATACATAAAGCAGGCAGAACAGCTCTTAGCACATAGCAAGAACAGTATCAGTGTTGCATTCACCTTGGCCCAGTGCAGTCAAGCCCTAACTAATGTCCTCCTTCCAAGCTCTCCCTGGAAAGAAACCACACCAGAGGAATCTCCTTCAAAACATTCTTTTCATTACACCACTCCTCTTGTTAAATGGAGACTTTGGTATCTGTTGTCCTTTATAGTCTAGCCTTGGCATGTTTTTAGTGACCTTAGGAGAAAAATATGAATGGAGTTTGGTCCTTGCCTTTGAGGTTCTTAGTATGTAGTCAGAGAAATGAGACAGACAGCACCCTGCATAGTAATAGGTGCAGCCATAGAAGTAGTGCCAGACATAGAGAACGGATGATTAATACTCATGTGGGCACAAGGACAGGCATCACCGGGTAGATGACAACCAAGGTGGGTTTGAAAAGATGAATTAATGTTTGCCAGGTAATGAAGGGAGGAAGAGAGCAGAAGAAACAATTTGTAGACAGGTACAGGGGTGTGGAGCCATGTGGCTTGATTGGTGTTATTGGACAAAATGTGCAGGGAGGTGAAGGGCTGAACCATGACGACCTTTTGTTCTGTGGGGACACAGTGAAGAGCTCCGAGTTGTGCAGAGCAGGCTCAGATTGGCATTCTAGGGGAGATCACAGAGCTGGCAATGTGGGAGGAAGCCCGGAAGGAGCCCTGGGCAGCGGCCGTTCCTTGGCACACTTGCTCGAGTGATGGCCGTGGGGGTGTTTTCCCTTGGCTTCTGCACTGTCACCTAGCCAGTGTTTGGTAAGGAGGTGTGCACCTCAGCATCACCTGGGAGCTTTTCAGCATAGTCTTGTCCCACCTCCAGAGATTCTAATTTGGTTTTTCCAGATAGCACAGCCCAATAGAAACATAATGCAAACCACAAACATGAGCCACATGTGTAATTTTACATTTTCTGGTAGCCAGATTTTAAAAAGTAAAAATAAATGTAAAATTAACTCCAAAATATTGTTTCAGTGTGTAATAATTATAAAAACGTTCCTTCACATTCTTTTCTTTTTCTGTACTGTCTTTGAAATCCTGAGTGTATTTCAATTCAGAAAAGCCACATTTCAAGGGCTCAGTAGCTACATGCAGCTAGTGGCTACCACCTTGGACAGCACAGACCTAGAATGGGGGAATCTGTAGGTTGATCACACATCCCTGGGATTCTGGCCTACAAGCCAGGTTGAGAACTTAAGGCAGTCCTGTTCCCTCCTTTGTTTCCCAATATCCATATCCTACTCATCCTTCAAGTTCCAGTTCATTTCTTTCTTCTCTGGGAAGCACAGGTTGTCTTTGCCATTTATTTGGCACTAATCATATATCACCCTGTCCTATTATTAATCTTTTCTTGGTGCACCGCCATCTCCTCTTTGTGAGCCATAGCTCCTATTGGGCAAGAACACCATGCTATATTTCATTTCATCCCCAGAGTGCCTAATCCATTTATTTAGTAGCATACTCTATGTGATTTATAAACATTTCCAGACAGACAACACACCTTTCCAGGCTGCATCTGTTAAAGCCTAAAGTAGGGAGAGATATTTATCTCATGTCATCATTATAAAACAGTGAGGCAGGCAAGAAAAGGCGTTGCTCAAGGTCACACCCCGCTTCCTGACAGACAACATTGCTCTCAGTTTATCACGTTTTGTGTATTGATTTGCAGCTGGACTTCCAGTTAAAACAGATATAACCCCTGGGCCATCTCGATTATGTTCTGGAGCACGACGTTCTTTCTTCTGTAGGATGAAGTGTAACAGGCCTTCAGTAAAGGTTGAAGACAAAGACTTCCCCTCTACCTGCTCAAAGAAAAAAGGTAACAATTTAACAGTCCTTTAAAACCCTGTGACAGGTAAAGCTTGCTTTCTGCAGTAGCTCTCAGCAGGGCATTGCCTCAGTGGTTTCTGGCTGGCCAGAGAGGCAGGTCCCAGGACTGTAGCCAGGACCTTGCAGTCCTCCCTATGTGTTAGGAACAGAGGAGATAGCTGAAAAGCCTGATGGTAGAGATTTGTGGAGAGGCTTCCTCTATTTAAATTGCATTTGTTTTAACATGACTGAGGAAGAATACTCTCAGCCATGATCCTAACTGCCTCGTGAACACCCACCAGTCCACCAAAATGACTCTGAGCTCACCAGTGACCTTCATGTTGCTAAATGCAATGGACACTTTTCCTTTTTCTTCCTTATTGAAGTGTTCTCTTCCCTTGGATGCCATGAAACCATTCTTCCTCCTCCTCCCCAGTCCTCTGCTGCTGCAGGCTCTCTTGCTGGCTGCTCGTCTCTGTCCTGGGCTGCTTCTGTCTGCAATTTCTGTAGGTCGTGTTGTCTACTCCCTTGGCTTTAAATGCCAATAACTTCCACATTCATATTTCCAGCCTAAATTCTCTTTTGAACTCCCAATTCATAAATGTACTGCTGCTTACTAAATCAGCCTGCTTGGATATCTCAGGGGCATCTCCAACAGTATACGTGCTAAAGTAATCACCTGAGCTTCTCCTCTGGTGTAAATGGCGCTGCCATCCAGCTGGCTGCTCATGTTAGAAGCCAGGGAGGCACCCTCACTTCTGTCTCACCACCCTACTCCTCAATCCTGTTAGTTACGATGTCCTGCCACAGTGAGTCCAATCTGCAAAAGTTCTCTGAAATGTTTGTCCCTTTCCATGCTGCCTACTGTCACTCAGCTCCAGGCTGCCCCCAACTCTTACCAAGTCTCATAAAGTGTAGACACACATGCTGTTCACCCCCAACACAACAGCCAGGATGATCTTTTTATCAGTCCCCGTTTAAAAACCCTTCAGTGTTCCCTATTGCTCTTGAAGAAAAGTTAAAAATACTTAATGTGACCATGCATTCCCCAACGCTGCCACTAAGCACATGCAAGCCATGCTGACTTCCTTCGATGCCTCAAGCCCCTTCTGGGCAATGCCTCTGCACCTGCTGTCACTTCCTGGTTGGAAATTTTTCCCTGTCTCCATGAGCCCCCTTCACATGGCTCTTTCCAACTCAGACTGCCTTATGTACCTTAGCACCCTGCTGGCTTTTCTACTGCTTTCTTATGCTTGCAGTTCTATGGTTATTTGTGGGATTATTTGTTTAAAGTCTGTCTCCTCCGCTAGGCTGTAAACTCCACAAGGGCACGTCTGATTTGTTTTTCACTCTATTCCAGTAACCAGCAGACTCCACGCTTGGTAAACACTCCATAATGGTTTGCTTGTTGGTGAAGTCTATAGGTGCTCCACACTTAATGTGTCCTAACTTGAAATCTTTTTTTTCTCTCTCTCCTATCTAGTCTGTTTTATCTCTTCTCTGAGTCAGTGAATGACACCAGCAACCACCAATCCAAAAAAGTTGGAGTCGTCTTCATTTATTTCTTTCCCTTAAGCCTGATATTCATAGCAAATCCCAACAGTTTGATCAAAGAAATTTCTCCTCATTCCTTTCTCTGCTCCTTCTCATCTTCACTGCAGTGCCATAGTTCAGTCTTCCTCACCTCTTGCTGTATTATAGCCACTGGCCTCTGAACCAGCCTTCCTACCAGTTTTCTACTCTCTTCCAGTTCACATGTCACCCTGCCTCCTACAGCATCCAAACCTGATTCGATTTTGCTGTTTCTGCACTAAAATATCTTTAGAGGCTCTCCATTTCCTGCCTTAAAAAAAAAAATAGACCAACATATTGGTTAGCAAGTAATCCAAGGCCCTTTGAATCTGCCCCCAACCTGCCTTTCCAATTTGCCCCTCAGTCCCACTACCGCCCATTTCACACAGAGCTCTTCGCCGGTTCCTATATAGGCTGTGCCTTTATACGTCCTCAGCCTTTATACATCTAGTCCCTCAGCCGCTGCTCATCTTTCTTGATCCACCTCCTCCACTGGTTTTTTGGGGAGCCTTCCTCTCCCCACGTGGAGTTAGATATTCCTTCCTTGGTGTATGTAATGAATGCCCATGGTATAACTGACTCTACTTAAGCATACTGACACTGGATGGCAGTTGTTTATTTTTCTTTCTGTCTGCCCCTTTCACTAGACGCTCACTTCTGAAGAGTGAAACCTTAATTTTTTTTTTATTTTTTGACTCCCTGCCTAGATCCCACCCCATCATCGGCCGCGTACACCTCCATGACCCAAACCTAGCGTTGACACTAACCACGAACTTTGCTTTTTAGCAGATCGGAAAAGCTTCTGCACAATCCACAGCACAGGCTATTTGAAAAGCTGGCCACCCACAAAGATGGGGCTAGATGAAGACAACGAACCAGACAACGAGGGGTGTAACCTCAGCTGCCTTGTCGCAATTGGACGACTGCATTCTCATGTAGTTCCACAACCGGTCAACGGGGAAATCAGGGTGAAATCTATGGAATATGTTTCTCGGCATGCAATAGATGGGAAGTTTGTCTTTGTAGACCAGAGGTAAGAGTCTACATATTACCCTTGAGCAATGATAGTAGAGGAATTTCAACCCTGATCTAAAAAGCAGAGAAGACCAGGCCATCAGCTGGCTTTTCTAAGAATAGAGAAACAAACAAAGCTGGACGTGGTGGCTCATACCTGAAATCCGAGCAATTTGGGAGACCAAGCCGGGTGGATCACTTGAGCCCAGGAGTTTGAGACCAGTCTGGGCAACATGGCAAAACCCCATCTCTACTAAAAATACAAAAATTAGCCAGGCATGGTGGCACACACCTGTAGAAACATCTACTCTGGAGGCTGAGGCAGGAGGATCACCTGAGCCTTGGGAGGTCAAGGCTGCAGTGAACTGTGATTGCATCACTGCACTTCGAACTGGGCAACAGAGTGAGACCCTGTTTCAAAAAAAAGAAAGACAAATGATGGGAGTCTCTGTTTAAAAATGAGATTCAATAGGATATCATCATAAATACAGAGATTTTTCTGTCATTCTTTGGCATATAGAGATAGTTAAGTGGGGTGGCTTGATGTCCATAGCTGAAAGAAAACAGTAGGCATAGCATGCTGTCTTCAGTCTATAGAATGTTCCAGGACCATTACTGTGATTGGAATCCTTCTGAGTCTAGGACTTAGAAGCAATTATTTAGTCCTAAGTTGTCCAATAAAATACTTGTTGGTCATGGTAGCCTCCTATGTGGCTAATGGCACAGACATAGAACATTTCCAGCATCACAGAAATTACTGCATTGATCTAATCCAACCTCCTTATTTTATGGATGAAGAATGGAGACCCAGCCTAGGGACTGGCCTCCTGTAGGATTCACAACTAATTGGATAGACCTGGACCAAGGACCCAGGTGTCCCAAATTTACTGCTGCCTACTGCTTTCCTTCAGAATATGCACAGGCTAATAATTTTCCTGGCTACTAGAGACAGCCACAACATGCTGGAAAAGGAGACAACCGCTTCTCAAGGTTCTTGTGGCCTCAGCTGCTGCAGCTTCTGGCATTCATTCGGTTATCCTGATAAAAAGCAGGCAGCAAAAAACAGAAGTCTTGCACTGAGATTTGGATTTCTACCACATTTTAATCTAATTAATGTGGTTACTTTTTTTTTTTTTTTTTTTTTCCTTTAAGATGGCTCTCAGTCTGTCACCCAGACTGGAGGGCAGTGGCGCAATCTCGGCTCACTGTAGCCTTGACCTCCCAGGCTCAAGCAATCCTCCCACCTCAGCCTCCCAAATCGCTGGGACCACAGACGAATGTCACCAGACCCAGTTCATTTTTCTGTGTTCTTGCTAGAGACAGGGTTTTGCCATGTTGTCCAAGCTAATCTTCAATTCCTGAGCTCAGATAATCTGCCCACCTCGGCCTCCCAAAGTGCTGGGACAGGCGTGAGCCACCACACCCGACTGGTTACCATTTTTAAAGCTTCCTCAGGTTTGATTTCTTGTGATAATAGTCCTTTACAAGGCTTCTTTGCTTTGTTTTCCACTAGTTTTATAGCCTTGATTAAATTCAGATGCCTGGAAAAAAGAGAAAACAATCCAGTCAGTGAGCCCTCTGAAAATTTATCCAGCTATTTGCCTCCAGCTTTGACCTTGCTCTCTTAGGCTATCACAGGGTTTAGTCATTGTACAGTTGCAATTAATCATCTGAATGGCTTTTTCTTCTTTAAATATTCCTTTATTCCCTTTTAGGGCAACAGCTATTTTGGCATATTTACCACAAGAACTTTTAGGCACATCGTGTTATGAATATTTTCACCAAGATGACATAGGGCATCTTGCAGAATGTCACAGGCAAGGTAAGCTGGGATGTATAAAAGATCTTAAGTTTAAAGTGTCTCCTTGCTTCTAGACTAGTCCCATGACCTTCCAAGGAAATCTATCATGGGGGATGCAGGAGTCAGTCAGCCTAGGACTCTTCAGGTCAGAACTATCTGTGTGAAGAGGAACCTGATGCCAGCAGGCACTGTTTATCCCCTTGTAGATGCCCTCTGCTGACTGCATAGCAGTTTTCTGTACATAGGCGATGGCAGTTTCTGAAAGACATCTCTTGTTCAGAGGATTTTCCCAGACCCTGTACAGATTTAGTATGGCCCAGACTGATCTGATTCTCTTTTCCATTCAAACCTGCACTGCCTCCTATATTTTCTGTTGACTAATGCTGTGACCCCATGTGCAGCCTCCTGAGAGAGACCAATATTGACCCCTTCTTTCACTGTGTCTCCACCAGATCCTGTTCATTCACCTTGGACATACCTTTCCAAAAGTCGACTTTTTACTATCCCTACTGCCATCACCCTGGTTCAGGCCTTTGTGCCTACCTGGAGACCTGTGATAGACTTCTCGGGATCTCCCTGCTCCTTTCCACCCCCCGCCACGGCCCCCCGTTCATTTTCCATAGTTATCCCACTTATCTCCAGATAGATTGAGCCTGATAATATCAGGCTTCTTAAAAACCTCCTGCCTTTAGACTCAAGCCCAAATGCCTTTGACAGGCATTCAGATGTGAGACCTTCCACTTCCTGGCCCCAGCCCACCTCCTCAGTTTCAGTCCCAATTCCTATCTGCAGAGGCCTGTGCTCCAGCTACACTGACCACCTCACTGGTCTCTCCCCCACCAGACCCTGCTGCTCCTCAGGCACTGCTGGGCTCTTCCTTCCCTCCTTTTCTTGGCAAACTTGTGTTCATCCCTCAAGGCTCTGCTCTCTTCTCCTTGTGTAGTCTTCCCTCACTCCTCTCCTTGAGGGTAGGAGTCATAGCCTGTCTCATCTTCTATCTACAGTGTCTGGCACATGAGAAGTGCTCATTACATGTTTGTTACATCAAAAAATGAGTTTGAATAGGTGAGTGGCCTCTGTTGATTTGGATATTCTTAGAAATGAGATAAGTTCTGTATTGCCCTCGGGTTTTGTGTTGGGGACAGAGCATGATGCTTTGGATGGTGCCTTCTCATTTGCTGGTGGACATGTTAGAGCTGATTCTAGTTAGATATATAATATGAGGTTAATAATTCCCTACAGCCTTAATTTCACAGACTATGGAAAATTGTAACAGCTTCACAAATGAATTGAAAGCCTCTAAGTTAGCTCACAAACAACCTATTTCCTGAGTGTTGACCACGGGGTTTCCTTGGCTTATTAAAGAGCATGTCATTCGAACTCAAGTACCTTTAATATTTTATATTGGATGTCTTGTTTAATACTTTGAGAAAACAACAATGTCCATGTTTTCTTTACATTTTCAGTTTTACAGACGAGAGAAAAAATTACAACTAATTGCTATAAATTTAAAATCAAAGATGGTTCTTTCATCACACTACGGAGTCGATGGTTCAGTTTCATGAACCCTTGGACCAAGGAAGTAGAATACATCGTCTCAACTAACACTGTTGTTCTGTAAGTACTTTTCCTATATTTGAAGCCCCCCTTGCTCCAAAGAGATGCCTAGGGCTCCTTATCTGGGAAGGGGTGCGCAGGCAACAGCCAGTATCACATCCTTTAATGCCATCTTGCTAATACCTGTGAAGCCTCAGGATTGGCAGAAGCTGGAAAGGATTGTTAACAAAGGACAAACTTCAGTGCTTTACCATGCAGGCTCCAGCTTGTAAAACTGCTCCAGGAAACAGCAACTTTTCCTTCCAGATAAAGCAGCCAATCTTTGAATTCCACAGGCCTGGCACCCTAAGGCATCCACTTATGCTGCTGTGGAGGAAAGGGTTGATAATCCATGAAAGGCTCATGCACGAGCTCACACGGGCCTTGGCAGAGGATGGGGAGGTCTCCGTGCCTACCAGGCAGGGGGCCCAAGCATTGGCAGCTGGAATGCCATCTCAAAAGGCCGCTACCTGCTAGATGAGCAGAGGGAGGTCAAGGAGACTCTCTTTGGCCAGGCCTGCTCCCCACTCTTCCTTTCCCATAGCATCCAAAACCCCACCTATGGTTAGAGTTGCATGCGGGGCCAGGGCTGGGTGCACTGCAGGCTGGCAGGAGGAGGTGGTGTAGTGATGGCACTAGTTTACTGCAGCCACCACCTCTGCTGAACTGTGTTCCACATGTCTTAGGAAGGCCCAGGCAGGCAGTGGGGCCAAAGACTGGGATGCCATCCATTATGTTATCAAACAGTGAGGAGACCTGTTCACCCACTCAGACAGACACTTCATTTTCTGGCCTGTCCAGGTCCAGAGTGGACACCGGACACCTTGGCCAAGTTGAAAGGTGTATGGTTCTGAGCAGGCCTGACTCACATTTCCTTATTGCTGGGATGTTCACAGAGCCAACGTCCTGGAAGGCGGGGACCCAACCTTCCCGCAGCTCACAGCATCCCCCCACAGCATGGACAGCATGCTGCCCTCTGGAGAAGGTAACTATGTGCTGCTGGGGCCTTGGAGCTTGCCAATGAGAAGCTTGTGGTCAAATATCTTTCCCAAAGTATTCAGAGTCCCCTCCCTTCCTATTCTGTGGACCAAGGGAGGCCTCGAGGGGATGATGTGAAGATTTCTCCATGAATGCTGAGGACACTGTCATGTCACTTTCTTTGTTGAGCTGGAATACTAGGAGCTTACTGCTGCCCTTCCCAAGGCTGCCAGCCTGTGAAAGCCCTTAAACTTGCAAACCCCCTGCTTCTTTTGTGCTTTCCTCCTGTGTTGTCCAGTGGCCATGATGTGAAGTGCTCTTTGGTGACTGTCACAGACTCCTGTGTTTGGCAGGAAGGTGTCTGTCAGCACCAGGGTGTGTGCCATACCCAGTAGGCTCCCTTCTCAGGCTCAGCCTTGGCTCTGGCCCCTGCTGTCCACACTGGACTCATCCTTCCTGAGACCATCCTCACATGCATGGCTGCAGCCCCCATCAATGTCTCCATCAGTCATCTCATTCGATGACTCTCACGTCTACATCTCCAGCCCCAGTCTCTCTCCTGAGCCCCAGATCTGTCTCTCCAAATGCCTCATAGACAGAACCACCTGAAGTCCCAAAGGCACCTGAAATTCAGAATATCCCAAACTGCTTTTCCGTACTTCACTACTTGATTGGTTGTTTAAGCCAGAAACCTGGCTGCTGTCTCTCCCCCATTATACCTAAATGTGAAGTCTTAAACCTTCTCTCTCTTAAACTTTGTCACCACTGTTGCCACTTCACCCTCCTCATCTGCTGCCTGGATTATTGCAAATCACTTCGCAATTCAAGTCCCACTCTTACCACCCCATCCTCCATTGTAGTTCATTCTCCCTGCCGTGGACTTTCTAATAACCCAGATCTCATTTGTGCCTTTTCTGTGTATTGTACTCTGGTACTCCTCATTCCCTTGTGGAAACTGTCCAAATTCATTAGTACGGCATCCAAGAGGCCCCTGATGATCTGACTGGTACCTACTGCCCCAGTTTCATCTTTCATGCTCTGATCATCACTCATGATGAATTCCTTGGAGTCTCCCAAGTTTTGTCCTGCCTCAGTGCTCTTGCACATGTTGGTTGCTGTGCATGGCATGCTTTCCCCTCTGCCAAAGCTAATTCATACTCATCTCTCAAGACTCAGCTTGGGGTTAACTTGTTCCAGAAGCTGCACCTGGCCCCAGATGAGTTGGTTGCCTCATGCTTGCCTGTCAAACTTAACTACATTTTGCTTTACCCATTGGTCATCTTGTTGGTTTCCCTATTAGACTGTGAGCTCCTTGAGGGTGAGAACTTGTCTCTGTAACCCTGGCACATACGGTGATCTTCAGTAAGTGTTTTCAGTGCATGACGGGAAAAAACTGGCCTTGGATCCTAGAAGGAGACTTGAGGCTTTTCGTGTCAGAATGCCTTTTCCTGACAAGCTGTGGCCCTAAAGTCCCTCAAGGTGCAACTCTGATGTTGAACTACAAGTGGATCATGGGACAAACTAGTTTTACTTTAATACATAATAGCATTTCTTCCTCAGTTTTTCCCTTTCCTACTCTCAGATTCTTTTATTGTAGGTGGCCCAAAGAGGACCCACCCCACTGTTCCAGGGATTCCAGGGGGAACTCGGGCTGGGGCAGGAAAAATAGGCCGAATGATTGCTGAGGAAATCATGGAAATTCACAGGCAAGTAACACCTTCTAGTTCCTCGGTTAAACCAGTGGTTCTCAACCCAGGACAATTTTTTCTCTCAGAGGATATTCTGCAACATCAGGAAGCATTTTTCGTCTTCACAACTGGCTGGGAGGTTGCTACTTATCCCATGGATAGAGACCAGGGATGCTGCTTGCTAAACATCCTGCAATAAACAGGACAGTACCCCTTCTCCCCACCCCTAGCAAAGAATTATCCAATCCAAAATGTCAGCAGTGACTAGATTAAGAAATCCTGCCTTAAATAAAGAAGCTAAACCAAAATAGGCCAGAGCTAAAGAGAATTCTTGAGGAGATTTAACTTTCTTACAGCTCAAGGAGCTTCCCAGTGCGGACGGATGTACCTTTACTTTACAGCACTGCAGGAGTAGAGCTGTGAACCATCAGAGTGATCTGGACCTTAATAAAACATTCACTTTTTTTCAGTCAAAGAGTTGCCCAGGATTAGTAGTAGACACCAAGCAGATCAGCTAGTTATTACTAGCTGTCTTGGGGGAAACTTCCTTTCCATATGAAAGAGAAGGAGCTTAGAAGCAGACCACCTGGGTTTGAGTCCTGGGCGGGTCTCTCTACCTGGCTATGCTGAGACTTACATAACCTCTTGCTTTCTGTTGACTTAAACCATAAAAAGAAAGCACTATTTCCCAAGGATTTTGTTAGGATCATGAGGGCACTCAGGAAAAGTTCCAGGAACATAGCCTGACATACAGTGAATGCTTAAAAATCAATTAAATCTGTCTTAAAGAGAAGTCATTGAGAGAAGCAGTTATCCTAAGTCTGTCCGAATTTGAGAAATAGACAAGGGGGTAACCAGATTCTTCAGAACGCAACTTAGTGTAACATAATGATAAGAAAAGGAGAAAAAGACTGCTGTCACTGGGTTCTCTCAGGAGAATTAAGAGGCTGGCCTGTTTCTCAACTGGCCATAAAGGGGCTGTTATCCTCATAGGTAACACAGTTCTGTTTCAACCCCACAGGATTAGTGGGTGTGACCTCTGCATCAGGAAGGAGATATGACGGTAGTGTGCAGTGTAATCAGGTTCAATCCCTATACTTTGTATTTGCATACCCTGTACTTTGCTTGAGACTATCCAAGAACGGTATCAAACAGCCCTTGACCGCAAGAACCTTAAAATCTTTTAGAAGTCTATTGTCTTTATGATAATAGGAAAAAGGGAGAGAGTGCATGGGCCAATGCAAGCAAAGGAGGAAAGATTTGAACTTGGCCTTAGCCAGGGTTTGTAATGAGAGTGGATGTTCCCTCTAGAAAAACCAGGCGTATTCTTGAGTGGGCACGTGAGTGGCAAGTTCAGGGTCAAGAAACAAGCTACCTAACTGGGCAGTCTTTGTGTAGGAAGGAGCCACAGAGCTATGATGGGAGATTGTTAAGAAACCCAAGAAATGACACCGTGCAGTTTGGACTGGAAGAAAACTCTAAGACACATTTATTGTAGGATGCTGAGTAAGCATCCAAAGTCTTGTGTTACGCTTTGTGGAAGTTGCATTGGAATAGGGAGAGATGAAGGTGGTCATGTTTGTTAACCCAGGAATGAGGCCTTATCCTACAGAGATGACACTGCCAAAAGAGAAATCAATAATCTAAGATCTAGGGTTTGAAAATGAAATCAGGAATGATAGAACAGCAATCCCAAGATGAGAAACCCGAGAAAACAGTGGTGTCATAGACATAAGTAGGAAAAGATGGGGGATATTCATCAATTTTTCCATAAGCAATTAGCAGACATTTGTACATGCTGAGAATACATGATATATAGTTGTAAACCGCCATTAAGAAGCTTATCCAGAAAGAAAACTTGTTCACTCACAAATCTAAAGAACTAGGCTACAAGAACCAAAAGACTTATGGGCAGTGGAGGAGTGTTCTCTGGATCACCCAGAAGCTGCATTCATCCATGCAGAAGCTGAGAGCCCTGTGGTTACACAACTGGCATCACACTCTCCCTAAACTCTAGCTGCAGTGCCAAGCAATGGCTTCTTTCCTGAGGTCCTTCAGCCTGACAAGTATTCAGGTGGATTTACAGTTCTAAGTCTTCCCTTCTATAAATCATCTGAGGGATATGCTAGATAAGAAAGGCTGGGACCCATTTTTCATCAACTGCTGCCTTAGAAGTCTCCTCTTACTGTTATTTCTACCTTTTAGAAATAGTATGGAGGACTGGTGCCCACCATATCCTAAGAGTATTCACTAGCTAAACTGTTTGTAGGGAAGGGGATAAATTATTTGCTGTGGATCAAAGATGGAGGTTGAACGCAGGTCTCCTCCAATTCACCTGGATTCTTTAAGGACATAAAACTGGCCACTTACTTGAAATTCACCACCTTAATGCAGACTCCAATCCAAGGACTTTGTCAGTGAGATGCTTGACTTTAGGGACTGCATTCTAGATCAGGTGCCTGTAGAACAAATCCAGCTTGTCACCTGTTTTTGTAAATAAAGTTATTGTAACATAGCCACACCCATTCGTGTCTGTGGCTGCTTTCAAGCTGCAGTGGCAAAGTTGAGCATTTGTGACAGAGACCACGTGGCCTGGAGAGCCTACTTTCTGGCCTTTACAGAAAAAGCACACCAAATCCTATCTAGATCTTCATCCCCTTTCTTACCTTTACGCCTTAACAAAACACACACACTACACTGAAGAAAGGGATCTATCTCTTTTCTGACAGGATAAGAGGGTCATCGCCTTCTAGCTGTGGCTCCAGCCCGTTGAACATCACGAGTACGCCTCCCCCTGATGCCTCTTCTCCGGGAGGCAAGAAGGTAAGACTGATGACTCTTAGCCTAGGTCTGAAATGTTGGGGGTGGGAGTATGGAATTGCAACTGTGATTGCTGAAACAAGTTGAACTACTTTCTTCTTGAAGTAAATGCATCTGTGTGAGGCTGGGTACAAAGCATACTCCTAGGGCTAGGGAGGCTTGTTGACATCCTCGGAGGCTTTCTTCCATGTGAGTGGAAGAACGGAGAAAGAAGAAGGAATGGGGAACTGTGAGTTCATTTAATTGAGGGAGCAATTAAAGAGTTCCAGAGGGAAAGATTATTGAGTACCACACATAGAAAAGTTTCTCATTCTCTGCTAGGAGTTTTCAAGGGATAAAATATTAGTGTCTCGGGCAGGCACTGGAAACAGCAATACCACCAGCAGTGCTTTGGAAATCAAGCCATGCTTTATAGCTGCGGAATACTTGGGGATCTGCTGTCTGGGGGTTCTTGTGGTGTGACAATATTGGATCTAAGCAGTGTATCAACCCTCATGAAGAGCTTGCTATAAGACTACACTATAAATAGGTTTAGGAACCAGTCATTTGTTTTCATCTTTGCCAGAGAACTTACAAGCCTAGGCCCATGTTAATCATAAATCAGAAATCAGAAATCTGTTTATACCACCTGATGTCAGTAGAGGTTAGGACAGTTCAAAGGCCAGCATTTTGGACACGATGGCTTCCTTCCCCATCTCCTAAAACACATACAAAGAGAGAATATTAGGAATTTACATTGGCAGGACTCCTAAGGCACAAACCATCAAAAGTAGGGCAAGGATTTTCAAAACTGAGCTCCCCAGAGGTTTGTTCATGTTACCAAGAACTGCGATGTTACCAGGTGGGATGGGTGTGGGGGTAGTTGCTAAGGAGAGAGGGTAAGGGCAGAAATTCTGCTTCTACAAGGGCAAGAATACGTCTGTTTGATATAGGAATCTTCTGCAAACATTTCTATTTGAAAAAGGGATTTGCTCCTCCAAAAAAGGTTGAAAGTCAACAAATTAATGGGTAAGACTACATCGTAAGAGAGACCTGGGTCCGAAGCTTGGCCTTGCCATGTGCTAGTTATGTAATTTCGTACAACTTTCAAACTGTAGTTTTCTTTATAATTGAGCTAATATTGGTTAGGGTAGCCAGCATCTTTGCATATGAGGTCCTATTATGAGATAATGTATGTGAAAGTGCTTGGCCCAAAATACCATTGATAGATGAAGTCTGGGCTTGGTATCCGTGTGCCCCACCGCCCCCACTCCCACACACACACACACACCCTGCTTGCCAGCTGTCTTCTTAGCTGTTCTTCTGTTATACCTCCAGGTCCTTCTTGCATATTGGATCCACCATCTTCTTACGGTGGTCTTCCAGTCTCTGCTTTTCAAGTTAACTTTTAGGCACTTGACTCCTGGTATTACTAAGGATTCTACTTCTTGGTTTTGAAAGGTTATCATTCCAGAAATAGGCTTAAATATTACTTAAAGAACTTTCATATACATTGTCTCATCTTATCCTCACAACATTATAGTTACAAGACCCAGGCTCCTCAGCGTTTGTTTATAAGTATGGCCCCAAACTACAATCTTGGGTTCATGACTTCCAATTCTTTTCACATCAGCAGTGATCAGAAATCAAAAGCTGTGCTCAGCATCATAAAGCCCCACCTATTTTTGAGGCATTTATGAAAATCCTTTTCTCTCATGAGTCCTGGGCAACTGGAGTGAGACACTGTCAAGGAGGGAAGGAAGGAAAGGTGGGAGGAAGGGAAAATGTCTATCATTACTTTTATAAAATTCGTAAGTACACATCTTTTAATGTTCTGTGACAAAATGAGAAGTATGCATGAAGAGCAGGACTTACAAGAAAAGCAGCTTAAACAAGACAGTTAAAACTGATAGCAGTATTAAATGGTGCACCAGACCCAGCCCTTTCCAGTCACTTTGAAATTTGGCAGGTCCAAAAATGAACCATTTAGCCTGCAGTTGTTCAGTCAGGATCAAGCTAAAAAGGAATCCTAAGTGAGCCTCTGTAGGTCCCAGGAGAGTACTGACATCCAGAAGCACTAAGGCAAATTCAGATAAAGCAGCAGTTCTACAAATGTCATCTGCAGTCTTTTTCCAGAAAGAAGGGGCACAGGATCCCGTGTGCCCCACCCCCCTCACCCCAACACACACACCCTGCTTGCCAGCTATCTTCTTAGCTGTTCTTCTGTTATGCTTTTAAGGTTAACGCTATTTTCTTAATAATGTCAAAACATTAGTTTGCTTTTCCCATCACATCCATCTTTTTCTCTCACAACAAAAAAAAAGTTTAAAACCAGTTTCATTTAAGAATGTCCACCATGTCCAGGTGTGGTGGCTCATGCCTGTAATCCCAACACTCTGGGAAGCTGAGGCAGGCAAACTGCTTGAGTCCAAGAGTTCGAGGCAAGCCTGGACAACATAGAGAAACCCCATCTCTACTAAATAATCTCTGCTAAAAAATACAAAACCTTAGCCAGGTAGTGCAGCTGTAATCCCAGCTACTCAGGGGACTGAGGTGGGAGAATCACCTGAGCCTGGGAGGTCAAGGCTGCAGTGAGCAGAGATTGTGCTACTATACTTCAGCCTGGGCAACTGGAGTGAGACACTGTCAAGGAGGGAAGGAAGGAAAGGAGGGAGGAAGGGAAAATGTCTATGATTACTTTTATAAAATTCGTAAGTACACATCTTTTAATGTTCTGTGACAAAATGAGAAGTATGCATGAAGAGCTTGTGCTACATACCAAAGCATGATATCTGTCTCAAAAACCACTTGTGTGATTAAGTTGTAAGCTGAACTGCATGCTGTTTTCATTGGACACCATTTTTATTGTACATGGGCATTCAGCTTTGGGTATTTAGAAGATATTTTCTTGGAAATGAATGAAGTGAACCTGTCACTTCAAGGAAAATGACAACATTTGTTGCCAGTGATAAAATCTGAGCTTTCAGCAAAATTTGGAATTTTTAGAAAACTTGTATCCACTACTTTGAGCTTGAGATCTTCCTGAAACTTAAAAAAATGTTTTTGGTGAGCTAGGGAGTATTAGCAATGTTAATATTGATGCTGTATAATGAAATGTATCAACATATAGAAGATCTGCATAACTCAGTGAACCAGTATTTTCTAACCAATGCAAGGTATTTCAAAATCACGCAAGGGTAAAAGATCCGTCCTAAGTACCAAGATTATTAATAAAGTACAAAAAATTCATTGATATGGTTTCAGATTCAGATTTGACATTGCAACTCACCTTTAAGAAACTTATACATGTCAAATTTTGAAGTGGTATAAAAAAAGAATACAATTATTTGAAAAGTCTATTAAAATAAGTCTCCCTTTTCCAACTACTTATCTGTGGGAGGTCAGATTTCCTTCATATACTTGAAGTCATATCTAAATAGACTGAATGGAGAAACAGGAGAATCCAGTTGAAAACTACTAAGCCAGACATTAGATTTGCAAAAATGTAAAAGGATAATACTCTTCTCAATAATTTGTTTTGGAAAATAGTTATTTTTCATTAAAATACTATTCATTATTTATATTAACATGTAGTGGGTTTATTACGTTTAAAAAACCTATTAGTTTTAATTTCAAATACAGTAAATACTGATAAATACAGCCTACATAAGCAAAAATTCTTTGGAGTCCTCAATAATTTTTAAGTGTAAAAAGGTCCCTAGACCAAAACATTGAACTGTGGAAATAAAGTAAGTTATAATGCCACCTACTGGCAAGGCCTGAGATCACTGCTGCTCCTGAAATTAAGCAGCTACCAAACTGTTTCCTCACGTACATCGATAGGTCTCAAAGAATGGTCTTCTTTAAGACTCAGCCAGGGGAAGCAGCTGGGGGAGTGAGGGAGATTTTGAGACAGAATCAGAGTTCTGCTACTGAGTAGCAGTAATAATTCTCCCCAGTGGCCTTTCTTAAGAACTTAAACCACAGGTTACTGAAGTTGGCACCGGTAGTACAAGAGATTTACTTTTGTTGTTCAACTCCTTAGAACTGTGTCTCTTCACAGCTTGTTAACAACTTCACTTATTTCTTCTTCAGAAATATCTGTCACTGTAAGATGTTTTATTATCTTATAGGGGAAATGCCTAGTTGGGCTCATTGAAGTTTAGGCATTGGTCCTAAAGAAATATGTGGGTATCATGATTCCAGGCAGTTGAAGACTTGGGATTTTATTCAGCCCTTAAGATGCCTCGGTGGGCTCAGTAAAATGAAGAGAAAAGAATAGTCTGGGGACAGGTTTTTTCTTACTATGACCATGTCTGTCTCACAGTTCCTTGTTTGAAATCATCCAATAGAAAGCTGAAGCCATTTGAAGCTTCTCCCCACCCCACCCCATGCATTTCCAACATGCTTCATTTTCCTTGTGGCACTGCTCATGAGACTGATCAAAACTTCATACTTCCCTCTTTCTGTTTGTAGATTTTAAATGGAGGGACTCCAGACATTCCTTCCAGTGGCCTACTACCAGGCCAGGCTCAGGAGAACCCAGGTTATCCATATTCTGATAGTTCTTCTATTCTTGGTAAGTGGCATTATTATTCGTTTCCATTGCAATGAGCTTGCAAAACTTCTGACATAAAGTCAGTTTTAAGAACTGAATTGTATAAAATAAGCTAATCCTAGATAAATTTGATAGGAACAGAATAGAAGTTTAAAATTTGTTTAAATCTCTAAAAAGTTGACTTCAATGTTTGAGTTTTGGTGGAGGTCCAACTTTGTGCCTAGAACTCAAGAGGAGGCTATAGCAACCTAGACATAGGCCTTCTGCCATGTGGGGCATAATCTGTTCGGAGAGAGGACTAATGAAGGTTCAGAGATAATGCCTGGAAGGGTGATTAGTAAGTATATCAGAAGGTATTAAAAGTCATTAAGTGACAAGAGTTTGTTTCTCCCATCACATCCACCTTTTTCTCCACTTGTCTTTCTAGATTTCTTTTTTTCCTAAACTCTCCTTATTTGCCTTTCTTTTTGTAACTCCTCTTAACTGGTTATATCAGAATATTAAAATGAGCTCAACTCAAAGATTTTTAACATTTAAGCCCTTTATACTTCTAAAATGATTTTAGAAGCTCCTTAGAGCTGTGTCACTTCACAGCTGAACAACCTGACTTATTTCCAATGTATTTTTAAAAAATTGGTGCTTTCCTCTGAAAAACAGCAATAAAAAAAAGCCATGCAGCCCAAAAAGCAGACTCTCACCCTACTATTAAATGTAACTTTATTAAGTGTGCTTAGGAATTGCTAACAATCTAAATATGCTTTTTAAAAAAATCATTCACCAGTCTTTATCTCCTCCCACAGGTGAGAACCCCCACATAGGTATAGACATGATTGACAACGACCAAGGATCAAGTAGTCCCAGTAATGATGAAGCAGCAATGGCTGTCATCATGAGCCTCTTGGAAGCAGATGCTGGACTGGGTGGCCCTGTTGACTTTAGTGACTTGCCATGGCCACTGTAAACACTACATGTTGCTTTGGCAACAGCTATAGTATCAAAGTGCATTACTGGTGGAGTTTTACAGTCTGTGAAGCTTACTGGATAAGGAGAGAATAGCTTTTATGTACTGACTTCATAAAAGCCATCTCAGAGCCATTGATACAAGTCAATCTTACTATGTGTAACTTCAGACAAAGTGGAACTAAGCCTGCTCCAGTGTTTCCTCATCATTGATTATTGGGCTAGCTGTGGATAGCTTGCATTAATTGTATATTTTGGATTCTGTTTGTGTTGAATTTTTTAATCATTGTGCACAGAAGCATCATTGGTAGCTTTTATATGCAAATGGTCATTTCAGATGTATGGTGTTTTTACACTACAAAGAAGTCCCCCATGTGGATATTTCTTATACTAATTGTATCATAAAGCCGTTTATTCTTCCTTGTAAGAATCCTTTACTATAAATATGGGTTAAAGTATAATGTATTAGACAGTTAAATATTTTTAATAAATGTTTCCCTTGTTCTATAAATACTGTTCACATTTCAGATAATTAGAAAAAAAATTCCTACATGTTGCAGGGCAGGATTATCAGTTTCTACAGTGGATGTTTAAGGACTATCTATGCCAGTAACAGTAACATTTGTGGTGCTATTCTGGCCTTCATAACAATTCTAGGACTTGCATAATTTCTCCATGCTACTAGCTTAGCTGTGTTGTTAAAACAGTTCATTTCTAAATTGTTGCAGTTTTAATATATGTGAGAACAAAGATGTAACTGCTAACACACAAACTTCGAATCCTCTGAAATTATAAATTCAAGATTGTATTTAACCAATTGGCCTCTCTACTGCTGTACCCTCTCTAATACTACTTCAGTTGTATAGTAGCTGACCCCAGTCCCAAAGCACCTAAATATTTGATTCCTGCTTGAATTAGACCACAGAATATTTACAATAGTATTTGCATAAATAATTTGCTAAGCAAAGTAGCATGGTATAATGGAAAAACTGAACTAGTATGAGAAACTGGCTCTGAAACTTAGGGTGACTATAAGACCTAGTAAAGTCATTTTGCCCTTCATATCAAGTTGAACTAGAAAATAATCTTTTCAGCTCTAATATTGTTTTGGATATAGTATATTTTATCATTAGTAGGGAATTTAAATGCCTTATCACACATATACTAAAAGTTCCTTGAGCTACTATTGGATTTCTAATAATACTTATACCAATGAGACAGGAAATCATGAGACTAAAAATATAGTCAAGGTGGTTATAAATCTGGTCAGAAACATTAAAACAATGGAATTTTATTTTGATGAAAAACTCGAGTTTACAATCATTTAGTAAATGAACAGCAAACACTTCATTTTCCTATCCCATAACTCTTAAGAAAAAAAGCATTAGTAAATAAATATCTGTGAACAGATTAAGGGTAAGGCAGACTGGATAATAAACCACCTCTGACGTTCATACTCCCTGCATGTGACTCACTCTAAAGGGTGAAATGGCACTGGAGATAACTGAACTTATGGGCATTAAATGTCATCCCGATCACTCAGATAATCCCAAGATAAATACTTTCTGCTCACCAAGGGCAGCAGACTACACAAATTTTACTGGAGGAATACTTTGACAGAAGCACTTACTTAAGTTATATTGTGCATCACAACTATAAAATGGCTTGAACATTTCCATTTAACCACTTCCATTTAACCACCATTTATAAAGTGCAACTATATAATATTCTGCATTTTATCTGGGGTGTGATGAATATCAATCCAAACTGAAAATACCCCAGCTGCCAATTTCCACCACTTTTCAAAAGACCTAGATGTGTGAAAAAGGACCATCCCCCATACAAAGAACCAATTTCACAAACCTACTGGTAAACAAATACATTTATATAATTGGAACTTCAAGATGATAGAGTTGTACTCATTTAAAAAAACCATTCAGCTACCTTTGGTCTTTAAAAAAGCCTACACTGCAATATCCTAAACATTGTTATGTGCATCTCACAATGAAGAAGAGTGACCTTGCAGTGCAGAATGAGGAGAGTACAACATCACTGTGAAGAGTAGCATGCTATGGTTTCAAGGAACATCAGCATCACAGCATTGGATTCTGTGCATCAGGATCAAGGTCACTGTTGCCAGAAGGGGGGTGGATAGGGAGAATATCCAGCTCATCCACTTGTGGAGTTGGGTGCATGACTACCAGCTGGTCTTGGGGAATGTCTGCCGCAGCTGCTGCAAGGTTGGTGATAGATTTACTCTTTACACACTGAAAGTCTACATGCCGGCTCTTTCCTTCTTCCTTCTCCCAGGACATTCGAATAAACGGTCTTTGGACATAGTTGTAGATCACTTCTGGGCGGCCTCCAGGTCTTTTCTTTACTTTTTCTTTGTAGGTAGGATAACCTGAAAGAAAAAAAGGTTTTAAAAACTGAGGATACACACACACACCCCTCATCCATTTTGCCTTAGAAAGCTTTTCTGCTATAGATCCTATAGAAACAAAACAAACAAGGGACAACAAAATTCTATCCACCTACTCATCAGTTCAAGAGCCAGAGATGAAAACTCTACTGATATAATTCACAAAATCTTCTGTCATTCTTTAATTACTCAATACACCAACCACCAAGAAAACATTCTTCAAGTAGGAGTATGTTGGAGATGAGTCCCTGGTACAATAGCATGGAGCAGATCTTGGGTCTCCAGCCATGTATCTTTTTTTTGTTTTGAGGATTTTTTTTTTTTGACACGGAGTTTCACCCAGGCTGGAGTGCCATGGCATGATCTTGGCTTTCTGCAACGTCTGCCTCCCAGCTTCAAGCAATTCTCCCACCTCAGCCTCCAGAGTAGCCGGGATTACAGACATGTGCCGCCATGCCTGGCTAATTTTTGTATTTTTAGTAGAGATGGGGTTTCACCATGCTGCCCAAGCTGATCTTGGAACTCCTGACCTAGAGTGATCCACCCGCCTCGACTTTCCAAAGTGCTGGGATTACGGGCATGAGCCACTGTGCCTGGCCTCTAGCTATGTATCTTTATATTCTCATCACAGGATTACCTGGCCTACAGGCCTGTAATTTATGCCACATTAGCCTTCTAGTATCCTTAAACTTACTTACATCTCATCTTTATATTGCTTTGAGTTTTTTCTTTCCTTTTTTTGTTAAATGGAAAAGCTGTACAGCTCTCTAGGTGGTTCTAGATAATTCTGCATCTAGATCAGCAAAGCCAACATGTTAACCTCCCATATCACTTTAACAATACTACTCCCAACAACCAAGTATTTAATTTACAGTCACATTTCCAAGCAGCGTTCCCTGATTAATAATACCTAATACCTTCCTCTTTTGGAACATAGTCATTGAAAAGTAAGGACAACCCTAGATTTGAAAAAAAATTAGTTATTTACTAGTAAGGCCATTTCTCCAAAGATAAACTGTCTTTAAGAAAATATTACAGACTCCTTCCCTCCTTTCTTCCAGTAAGAATTACTAGTTTGGTCCAGGGATTGACAAATATTTTCTGTAAAGGACCAGAGTAAATATTTCAGGCTTGTAGCCCCATGGTTTCTAATAAACCTACTTCACTCTGCCCCTGTAAAGTGAAATCAGCCACAGAGAATATGTAAACAAATGAGCATGTGTATGTTTTTCTTTCTTTTTTGGAGCTGGAATCTCTGTCACCCAGGCTGGAATGCAGTGGTGCTATCTCTGCTCACTGTAACCTCTATCTCACGAGTTCAAGAGATTCTCCTGCCTCAGCCTCTGAAGTCGCTGGGATTACTGAAGCCTGCCATCACACCCGGCTAATTTTTGTATTTTTGGTAGAAACAGGGTTTCATCATGTTGGCCAGGCTGATCTCAAACTTCTGACCTCCAGTGAGCCTCAGCACCCAGCCACCTATGTATGTTCCAATAAAACTTAATAAAAAACAGGCAATGAGCTGATTTTGACCCATAGGCCAAAGTTAGACCATAGTTAGAATCAGAAAAAACAGAATGGTCTCATATAGTAGGGGATCCACTAATGATTACAAGTGAATGTATGTAGGCATCGTTGGTAGCTAGTACAAACAGTCATGTGTGGAGCATGTGTGTATGTGGTGGGGGTGAGATAGGTGCAGCAGGTGAACAAAGCTAAAAATCTAAAAACCTGTAGAATGTCTTCATTTCATACTTTTGGTCAATTACCCTCTGAAGGCAGCACCAGAGATCAGAAAGGTCTCCATCACCATTCCCTTGTCCTTGATTCCTCCTGGACTACTAGAAAGACTTTAAATTTCCCATCTCCTTGTATTCTATCCTCCACACACAATCACCACTCTAGATAAATGTAATCATATTACAATACTTGCTTAAAAACTACCAATGGTTTCCTTGGTGCTTAAAGGGAAGGACTATACTCCTTAGAATATTATACAAGGCTTTTTTACAACCTGGTTCCAATCTACTTAACGTTATCTACTATCATGCTATACTCTTAACTCTAAAGCTCTTAAATACACCTGCCACATTAAGCTTTCCTCTAAATATGCTTTTACACAAATTGTTCTGCTGCCTGTTCCCCCTCAGCCCCCTTACCCCTGCGCTCCGCTCCACCTCCTTTTATCACTGGCAAATACATTAAGATTCTCCACACAGTTAATCATTCGCTTCTTATGGTCCACAGCACTCCCATGTCAACAGTACTTAACAGAACTAAATTGTAATTACTGTTTTGTATGTCTGACTCTCTCACTTAAATAACAAGTTTCTGTATGGCAAAGCCAGTGTCTTTGTTGGTGTATCCTCAGTGCCTAGCATAGTACCTGATACACTGCAGGTGCGAAACAAATATTTGAGCAAAGAGTGAATGAACTACCAAGACATACCAATTACAAGTAATAACCTCTTCCATTATCCATCTTATCAGAACATTTTTTCCTTTAAAAAGACAGTAAAATCACCACTTTGGAAGGCTGAGGCAGGTGGATCATGAGGTCAAGAGATCAAGACCACCTGGGCCAACATGGTGAAACCCCGTCCCTACTAAAAATACAAAAAATCAGCTGGGCGTGCTGGCATGCACCTGCAGTCCCAGCTACTTGGGAGGCTGAGGCAGGAGAATCACTTGAACTTGGGAGGCAGAGGTTGCAGTGAGCCAAGATTGCACCACCGCACTCCAGCCTGGTGACAGCAAGACTCCAACTCAAAGAAAATAAATAAATAAATAAATAAAAATAAAGTAAAATAAAGTCTGTCCCTGACTTGGAGATTTACCAACCTATTCAAGTCAACAGTTCATGATTTAGCAGCTACTGCACCACAGAATTGTAATGCCAGAGTGCTACCTTAAAGGTGGTTATGGTCTATTGGGAGTGATTAAATTGTTCATAAAGTCAAAGAACATTCCAAATAGCAAATATGCGTACCTAAGAGAAAGTGTTACAGCAATAGTGGAAGTGTAAAGAATTCAGAAGATGAATGAGATTCCAGTGGACTAAAATAGAAAAAGCTACTTCAAGGCCTTCC